TTTACTACTTAGGTGGTCACAAGTCAAGAAATTTTGAGTCTTTACCCCATGATTTGCCGCTGCACACTGGATTCTCTGGTTGCATATTCGACATTGAAATACGCACAAATAGCGCGATTTATCCAATAACTAGCTCTAGTCCAGCAACCGGTCGTGGTGTCGGTGAATGCCATCGGAATGAATGTATTCGCCATTCATGTAAAAATGGTGCTGTATGTTTAAACCATGGAGCTACGTATAGGTCAGTCCCGTTTTAAACTTAATATACAGTCTTCAGCATTCAACGCCTACGTTGAACATTATATTCATTATTTCAGTTGTATTTGTACAAAAGAGTGGATGGGTTCCGATTGTTCCATACCAGTAGAAGTATTATCATCTATCAATTCATCTTCTTGTCATTCTTCAAATTAATGAAATATTGTTACTATTTCATTATATTCTAATATACTCACAGTACAAACATTTTGTACATTAACTGGTGTTTCCATAATCATTTTTCGGCTGACTTGTTACCGAACAAGAGTTCAAATGTACGAATAAAATTGCTGCAGCCAAACGAGCTTGTAAATCATATTTGTTGTGGTCATGATGCCATTCTACAGATCCCCAATGGGAAGTCTGTAACGAAAAAACAAAATTAAAAAATGAGAAAATTAATACTATTAATCTTGTAACATTATTCAATAAACGAATTAATATAAATACTTGGAAATCTTCTTCTAAAAGTGTTAGTTTTACTGCTTCTTCTATACTGAGCACTCTTTCCACCGCAGCTAATGTGAGAATTACAGATTTTATTGCATCTACTCCATACATGAAACCTATAAATAAAACAGTATTATTTACCACTTAAAACAGGGTATATAAATTTGTATTTCTACACGTGCCCTTACTTTTGACAATGGTCTAAATTATTTCAAGCATCAAAAATCATATTTTTTTATATGTTACACACAACATTACATAATCATATTAAATTCTCATTCTTCAAGACTAAATATTTTTTTAAATATTTTGTTAGGTACTACAAATATTTTTCAATCTATACACACGCAAACCTTCAAATTTCTTGAAACTAAAAATATATGACTAAATCAGTCCACTTTCAAAATTAATGGCACATATGTTAATAATAAAGTTATTTACCATGAACAGCGCTAAAATTGTAAGACATTAAGTATTTTAGTAATGTTGCTTTAGTCTCTATAGGCACTGTAGGAGCCTCTATACTTGTAGTTTTTATTATATCCACCCCATAATTGTCACAAAACCATTGTACTAATGGGTCCCATTTCTCAATTTGTAACTTATATAACTCGTCATTCTCCTGTAATATAATTTTTTTGTTTACTTTTTAATAAATCATATTTTGAAACAAACATGTAATATACTCACATTCGACTGAAATAATAATGTATCCATTTCCAAACAATTAACAACATAATTTACCATATCAAGTTTCGTATGATTTTGGGGATTATCTATTACTGTATTGCATAGAGATGTCTGTAAATTTAAATTGAAAGGAATGATGTTATGTCAATATTAATTAAAAATTAAATTGTATAGTATTTATATTTTTAAACAGAACTTTACCAAGTGCATATTGCTTTTATCAATAATTTCTTTCTGAGCATCCCATTCTGCAGCTACTGCTAATGCGAGTGGTTTGTTGTCTACTTCGAATATTTTACCCTTTGGTGTTTTGAGTTTCCTTTGATCAAGTGAAATTTCAAATTTTCCATCACTCGATAAAATATTTGTTTTTCGATAAAACCTTTTAACAGTAGCTGAAAAATAACTTTAATGTTAAATAAGCATTAACAGTTGCCAAAAAAATATGCATTCTATATACATAATAATCATTACAATACTGGAGAAACCGATTAGGTTAAGAACAATTTGAGAAGTTTAAATGAAGAATTAAAATCATCTTTACCCATATTTCTTACTACGCTATATGCCGTAGTAAATCTTCTGTATTTGAAATAGTGCATTTTCGAAGAATGTACAATGAATTTTTCACTGTAAATATTATTCAGTCCCTTTTCTAGCTTTAATTTGTCAATCAAAACACCTTATGTTGGTTATACCAAATATCTTCGGTATGTTTACAGATTGGGAATATAATAAATTGATATACAAATTATCTATTAATCATTCTTTTCCTATTACATATTAACTAACAGAAATATTTCTTATGATAATTATTTATAATAAATTTAAAAATAGTGATGTAACTACTATAGTTTTCCTATTTTAATCTAAAGTAATATTTAAAACAAGAATGAATATGTTTAAATAAAATCTCGGTTTGTAAGTTAACTGACTTTAGATATAACTCAATTTTTATTGTAAAATAAATTTTATTATCCAAAATAACATACTATGATGATTATAATAATTGAATTCGATTAACGTAGCTTGTCAGTAAGCTTCTATCAATTTATTTATGCTGCCCTCTATAAATTCTGAAATATTATGTTCATTGAAAAATACTCAACTTGCATGGGTGGGTTCGGTGAATACAGTGCTTGTTCAAGAGGTACCTACTTGAGTAATGCGGTGATAAAGTTAAAAAACATATACGAGAATAGTATTACTCATAAGAGTACGAATAAACTTCGAAAATTATATTCAGTTTTCAACGAACACCAAACTGTACATATGCGACCAATTGAAGTTAACCAAAAATGAAACATTTTCAATTAGCATGGCTTGTTTTGAACGTATGCTTAGTATATACTTTCAACTTAGAGCCAAGAATACCTGTTATTAAAAGAGGATTAAATGGCTCTTATTTCGGTTATTCCGTAGCCGAACATCAGGAAATTTCAGACGATGGTACAGAGAAACCAAAAAGTTGGTAAGTGTTATTTACTATTTCTTTTTATTACAATGAAAATAATATGACAATATTAATGTTCTTACATGTCAATAATTTAAATCGCTTATATTGTATATAAAATATTACTATTATTTATTTCATTCTAATAAAATTTATCTATGACATTCTCATGGTAGTAATTGGAAATTATTATTATTTGCTTATATGCAATGAACTGTTTTGTTATATAAACTGCTTTTTTGATGTGAAATTTTTAATGATTTAATTATAATCTAACTTCCATATAACATTTATTTACTTATTTTATAGGATGTTAATTGGCGCTCCATTAGATCAAAATAGACAACCAAAAACTAATAGATCGGGTGCATTATGGCAATGTCCTTTAACAACATTTAAAAGAGATTGTACTCAAGTGATCACGGATGGACGATTAAGTATGTACAAAATTTAAATGTGTTTTCCATTTTAGGATACTTTATCATTTAAAATTTTATTTTCATGAGTATGTTAATGTTTATGAATTATGATATTGAATATGTCGATATTTATTATACTGTGTGCATAAGTTTTGGAGAAACAAATAAAGTCAAACTTAATCAATAATACAAGGAACACATCGTTGTGAAAATTTGTTTATATCTTTATGAACGTTAATTCGACTTGCATGTTATTTTCAATATTACTGTTCTATGGAGTTGTTAAGTTATTGAGCTTTATTTTACGTTGTACATGTAATAAGATTATTTTTTTGTTAAATTATGTGTTGGTTAACGAGCAGCAGAGGGAGTTCTGTATGATTCAAGTAAGTCGATGAATGGTGTTATTAGAATGAACAATTTTGCAATTTTTATAAAAAATTATATTGATTGCACATATATTTTCATTCAATTCTTATTGAAATTCATATTTTAGCATGGCATTTCGTGATGTGAAAATTATTTATTTATATGAAATTAATTAAGAGGGTATTGTTTCAACAACAATATTACTAATAAAAGTTCTTTACAATTTCAACTTGTTTTTACTAATCATGGAATGCTTTTGTTTGTATTTACGTGTAAAATAAAACCTTAAATACTGTTCTTTACAATTAACAATTTATACATCTCTGTGTTTGGTATTCTATGTGTCATTATTTTTCATATATATTCTATTATCATTTATATTATGATTTATATGTATTATGTTTCTCAGCATGATGATTTATATGGAATGATTTTTTGATAATGTTCAAAACATATTGTAATAATTTAATATAACTTTATTTACGTTTTATTTCCTATTTCAAAGAAGTTAAGAATAAAATACCCTATCATGTCAACACATGTTATGGAATTATATTTTCTATATTTTCACTATAATGGAGTTTATTATTACTCAATAAAACTGCCATTAAATGCAATACTTAGATAAGATTTAATTTATTTAGATTTTGTATTTATATATAAATGACCTTGAGAATTAATTAAAAAAAATTCAGAAGCAATATTATCATTCAATTAACAAACTGTTTTTAATATTCCAGGTTTTGAATCTGACAATTTAGTGCCACCAGGTAATGATGAAATAAAGAATAACCAATGGTTAGGAGTAACAGTTCGTAGTCAGGGTTCTGGAGGTAAAGTAATGGTATGTACTTTTATTACATAATACTTACTTCTGTTACAAAACACTTAATTCATTAACTTTAATATGTCTATAGGTTTGTGCGCACAGACACATAGTAAAAACTGCAGACTCTCAATGGGGTCAAGGGCAATGTTACATATTAACGCAAGATTTAAAATATCAAGATCTAAAGAAACCTTGCTCTGGAAAACCAACAAATAAGTAATACAAATATCTTAATATCTAGATAAACTAAAAACTAAACAGTACTTTATTATATGTTTCTTAATTTATTTCTGTTTTATATCAAAGTAAAAACACTTTGTTATATTTTAGAGCTCATGAACAATTTGGGTATTGTCAAGCTGGAACTAGCGGTGTACTTACTGCAGAAGATCGTGTTGTTATTGGTACACCAGGGCCACATACATGGAGGGGAACTTTATATCTTTTTACGATTTCAGATGAATTTTTAACTAGAGATAATACTGTTTACAATGCACCAATGCAAGATTCTTCTCCTGTTAGCAAGTACAGTTATCTAGGTATATGTTATTATATCTTCTATTAATACGATAAGTAAAAATCTATTATATTACATTATTATTTTATTATTTCCGAGACCTATTAATTTAAAATAGGTCGTTTTGATAACAATAAAAATACAAATTATATTTATAGGAATGTCAGTTACTGTGGGGAACTTTTTTGGTAATGGATTAGCATATGCTGCTGGAGCGCCTCGCTCGAATGGTACTGGTCAAGTTATTTTACTTACACGACGAGATTTTAAACCAGACATGGATGTTGCTCTTATTTTGAATGGTGAACAATTTGCTTCAAGTTTTGGATACGAAATTACCTCTGCAGATGTTAATGGAGACAAGTACAAATCTTTTTCTTTTTAATGTATTTTCAAAATACATAAAATTATTTTATATATGTTTTTATATATTACAATTATTACATACTACTCCTAATATATTTTCATCGTCTATTTTCGTAGAATTACTGATCTTATAGTCGCAGCACCATTTTATTTCAATAAAGCAGAAGGTGGTGCTGTATATGTATATACATCATTACAAAAAAGTTATAAAGAAAATGAGAAAAGCAAACCTGTTAAACTTGTTGGTCGTGAAGAATCAAGGTATAATCTCTAAATATTTTTTGGTACAGAATGTTTTTTGTACAAATTCTTGTGTCGTTATAAACATTTATTCCACATCTTTTTTATTTATATATTTAATAGTAAATGTCAAATTGAATTGTAGGTTTGGATTTGCATTGACAAATCTAGGAGACCTAAATAAAGATGGATATGAAGACATTGCTGTTGGAGCTCCTTATGAAAAGAAGGGAACAGTATACATATATCTGGGTGCCAAAAATGGAATAATTACAGTGCCATCACAGGTATTACTTAATGATATAAAAATATATAACTTTGTTTTAACCTTTTATAGCCCAAATTGTTTTTTGTGGCTATAATAAAATTTAACAAATATCAGATTTTAGTGACATCTATAAATATTACTGAAATATTACTGAAATCTATTAATTGTCAGGTAATACATGCAGATGACATGCCAGAACCCTTACAAACATTTGGTTATTCATTGAGTGGCGGCATTGACATGGATCAAAATGGATATTCTGATTTATTAGTTGGAGCTTATGAAAATGATGCTGTAGCACTTCTGCGTTCAAAAAAGATTATTGATATTACTACGTACATCCGTTATCTAAAAAAGGATGGTACATATCAAGAGAAAATAGAACCCATTGATCCTAATAAATTTGGCTGTCCGGAGGACCCTGATTCAAATCACACATGGTCAGTATAATTCATAAAAATTAAGAGATTTTGTTTGTAATAATTTTGTATGCGTACGTATGCACACAAACGCGTGTAAATGAAGTTAATTCGTTGCAGTTTGTCATTTGAAGCCTGTTGCAAAACAGAATCTCTAGTAAAGGAAGAGGACATGCAAAATTTAAAATTAAATTATTATATTGAAGCTGAGACCTATACAGGAGTCAAAAAATTCTCAAGAGTTTGGTTTGGCACTGGTAATTCTCGTCCACATTATATAAATCGTACTGTCACTTTGGATACAGCAAAATTTGAACATTGCCAGAAAGAAATAATTTATTTAAAGGTAATTACATTTACTAAAAGTAATACCTCACAAAGATTTAACACTATCTTTTACTACAGGATAATGGCCATACATATGTTAATTTATATACGTTCTAAATTTTCTTCAGGAAAATACACGTGACATTCAATCACCTATTAAATTCCGTTTGAATTATTCTTTGATACAAGAAGAACCAATTATGCCAGCTGAAGGACAACCCCTACCTGATATAAAAAATTATCCTATATTAAACCAACAAGAAGCTGCGCGGGTATTTGAAGCAACCTTCCAGAAAGATTGTGGCAATAACGACATATGTGAAAGTGATTTACAACTAACGGCTCGATTAAATTTATCAGGTACAATTTTTAATTAGATAAGAATAATATTATAATTTGATAGTTAGATTTATTTAAAAATGCAAGCTAAATAGGTGCTAGAAAAAGATATTTAATTTTTAGCTTCGTCCGTGAAACCTAACTTCTACGAACTCCTTTTGGGTGAAAGGGAAGAAGTTATAGTAGACGTAAACGTATCTAATGTTGGAGAATCAGCGTATGAAGCTCAGTTATTTATTGTTCATTCGCACAGTTTGAATTACATTGCCAGTAATAAAAACAATGATTCTGTAATTTGCAATTTATATAATACCACACTAGTGGCTTGTTCCATTGGAAATCCGTTTAAGAAAGATAAAATGGTAAATATACAAGTAAGATTCGATCCGAAAGAATTAGAGGATAACGAATCGAAATTGGAATTTGTGATATTTGCAAATTCTACTTCAAAAGAAATAAAAGAAAAGGAACATACTAGATTGCAAGCAACAGTAGTGAAGCGGGCGGAATTGTCGATTAAAGGGTAACATTGCAATTTGTATCAACAAATCTGTGAGATAATAAAAATAAAATATTTACGAAGTACATAATGTATACAACATACAATTGTAGGAGTACAAAACTTGAATGGGCTTTTTATGGCGGACCAATTGTAGGCGAATCAGCTATAAAACATTTAAATGAAGTCGGACCAAAAGTTTCACATATTTACGAAGTATTTAATGAAGGTCCATGGAGAGTAAGCAGTTTAGAAGTTCGAATTTCGTGGCCTTATGAAGTTGCAAACGACAAAGCACATGGGAAATGGCTTTTGTATTTAGAAGAATTGCCAACTGTACAAGGTGAGGTTTAAATTCATAATATTTTTAGTTCCTTTAATTCCTTCAATTATTTAATATTGAAAACAATGTATGATTTATGTAAACATATTGATTATGTTTATTATAATTTTGTTTATAGCGTTAGGTGATGGCGTATGTATATTACCACCAGAACACATTGCTAATCCTTTAAAATTACTGGATAGTACTAGTTACGATGATAGTGATGTCTTCCAATCTGTATTAACTACTCCTTCCACGCTACATAATCACTCGAACTATGTAAGAATGAAAAGAGATACAGAAAAAGTCGTTAATACGCGCACAATTATTGATAAGGATGGCCATCGACGTCAAGTAGTTTCAATGGTATGTAATCAAATATATATGAAGAAACACGTATTTTTTAGCGAATAAAATTATTTTATTTTATTGTAGAATTGCAAAGCAGGAACTGCAAAATGCTTTGATATTACATGCTTTATATATAATTTGCAAAGGAAACAAGAAGCGATCATAACTGTTAAAGCAAGGTAACATTTTATATGATATAAGAATTATTTAATGTTTAAACGAAAACATTTCTTGTTATAAATATTTTATCTTTGCATTGAATATTCTCTCACACCTTCCAGGTTATGGAATTCTACCCTCGCAGAAGATTATCCTAAAGTGGATCAAGTGAAAATAGGTTCTAATGCAAAAATAGTTATTCCATTAAATGTTGAGATCCAACAAGAAAATTTGAAAGATGATGTTGCGATTGTAAGTATTACAAATATTCACTTAAAATATTTATCTCATTTCTCTTTGAAAATGTATGTAAACATGTTTTGATATGTAGGCTGAAACGATTGCATATCCAGATATTCTTGGTCAACAAGATGTTGAACCTGTGCCCATTGGGATAATCATAGGAGCCGTAGTAGCAGGTTTGATCTTGTTTGTCATACTTACATTAATTCTGAGAAAACTTGGATTCTTTAAAAGACGACGGCCGGACCCCACATTATCTGGAAACCTCGAGAAACATAGGGAAGATAATCCAGAAAGTGAAGCGTTATTTAAACGCTGAAGGTTGAAACAAATGTTTATTACGATTATATACTTAAAAACATTTTTTCATCAATTTTCATTTTTACTTAAGTTACAGTACTTACAATGAAAAATAACAAACTGTTAAAACTAAGAAATACAGAAGTACGCATTTAAGCAAGTGCACACAAGAAGTTTAAAATCAAGATTGTGATATATTGATATATTTATAAATATATACATACATTTATACATATATATTTTTAAAATCATATGAAATCTCTTAATTGCATAACTTTTTGATATCGAACACATGTTCATTATTTTAGAATTCAATATTTATAATCAATCTGTTAACCAGTTAATATTTTAGTCATCAATTTTTATTGTCGGTACAACGGAAGAATAATGCAGCTTATCTTAAAACAAAGATAATTTAGTATGTAACTTATATTAATATAGGTATTGTAATATAATTACATGCTTTACAAGTGTTAGAGAATGTAATGGAATTCAGATAACAAATTTTAATGGTTAACAGGTTACTTTTTAAATGAACTGCCATTATTGATTATCATACAATATTTTTGCATACGTTGACAAAGGTTCAAATATATTATCATTATAAATACCTTTTGTTAAAGACTGTTGCCGGTACAGCTTTATATGCTTTTATTTTTGCATTTATGAAAAAATAGAAAATAGTAAAGGAATACTTCTTGATAATAATACTGCTTAATTTATATATTCTTATAAATGCATAAATATATTAAACAAAATATAGATTTAAAATGAATGTATTTAATATCACCATAAATTAAAACAAGTTAGAGCTTATCTGTGCATATTTCACGTTAGATGTAAAAAATACATTATGCATTTAATGATGAAATATAGTATGGTAACTTTATTAAAGTATGATTAGTAATGTTCTATCAATTTCGAT